TACTCCCTCCCGGACTTGGGACCGGGACTGCTCAGGCGCTGACAAATGCCATGGCAAGAAAGGAAAAAGGCAACTGTACTAGCCTGACCTTTCCTGAGCCGAGAGGCTTACCGCCACAGCAACAGCAACATCAACAGCAACAGCAATTGTTACAATTTTTATTGGACGCTGAGCGAGCGGGCTCTGCTCATAGCAGGCGCATCAGAAACATCGAGACGTGCCGTAGGCCAGCACCGCCCCTTAGTAGCTGACCTGCTGACATTCCAATAGAGGTAAAGCGGCCTTAAAGTTCCTTACAGAGGTTGTGGCGGCGCGAGGGGACTGCCCTGCGATCATCGCGGGCACCGCCTTCATCCGTTTCTGGACTTGCTTCAAGGAGGCAGGTCACTTGACGTTGATATCAACTCCCAAAGGCGGTGCCCTGGTTTTGGCACGAGCGGTGCTCGCGCTGCAGCTGCACACTCGAATCCTCATGTTGTGACAATTAGACCAACAACATCTATATGCTTTGTATCCTCCGCGACCCTCAGCGTGAATCATTGCGTTCAATACTCACGAACCGGCAGCCGGCGGGTCGTATTCCGAAGAGCCGTCTCCCAGAGTTCCCGCCTAGTGGCGTCCCACACTGGGTAATTCCGGACTACAAGCGATGGGCCGCAGAGATGGTTCGTCGTCAAAGCACGTGAGTCGTCACTCCTAGCATTGCCTAACCCCGTCGGTAACAGTACAGTAACGAACACAACTGGGAGAGCCGTAGCCGTAGCCCGATACCCATAACACAGCCAGCGCGTCCGCCTAGCAACTGCACCCAGATATGACGTGGAGCCGTACCAACGTAAACACCGTATTGGGACTGACGACGCTGGCGTGCTCTCCTGAGCCTGAATCCACGGTGTCCAAATCTGCGCCTTGTCCTGAAGACAGGTCTGGCCCGGCGGCCAGTTGAAAGGCTTCCCCCTCAAGGGAGGATAGCCGTCCCACCCCATAACAAAAGAAGTCCCTGGGGTGCACATCGGGGCCAGCAGTGGGAGGATGCTGACGAGTTGCAAGCCTTAGAGTGGCACCCATCCTCTCCCGTGTCTGGCTTGTTCCCAGGCGCTGGCAGCTCAACAGCGGCGCTGCGCAAAAGGCTTTCAACAGTGAAGGAGGAACTCGATCACACTGGCTTTGTTGCAGCCAGTGGCAGTCTACCCTCCCTTTGGAACAGAACAAAGTTTCCCAAGCAGACTGCATGAAAACCAAGGCGACCCGGGTCCTTCTTATAAGAGGGTGCTCGTAAACGCGCAAAACCCATGTGCCAGCAAAACTGCACAGAAAAGACCTTCAGCTGTCCCTGGGTGTCTTGTCCAAAAGTTGAAAAGTCGAAGAAAGGCAAGGAACGAGGCCTCGTCTCAAAAGCTTCCTTCAAGATACCCAATTTCAGAAACAAAACGGCCAACTTACGACTGGAACTGCTCCTTGACTGGCTTGGTGCGGCAGGTCCTTTTGTAAAACGAAAGGTAGAAGAAAAACACTGAGGTACAGTCGGCGAACCAGCCGCTAGTTCGCAACACTCGCCACACCTGGTGTAAAACCAAATACTGCTCCCTCCACCGTGCGCAAAGGTGGAAACCTACCGCTTTGAACTTGCTGTAGTGGGAGGCCCGGGAATTGGGACCCGGCAGTCCACAGAGGCACGAAGCTCCGAGGCACACTCAAAAGGGTCAGGCAGAAGGACGTCCTTTACGCTTCGCAATGCAGGCCGTTGCCCACTTTTAGAGTTGCGCCAGACGCCCAGTTAGCACAGCTAAGATAACTTCTGTGAACCGTAGCGGCAACAACAACAAGGTGCAACCGAACACTGGTGCCCCATTGCCTTTTTGGATGTGGTTGTTGCCCCCGTGGTTTGCACTGGGTCCCCATTCCGGCATGTTCACAGCGCTTTGCTCGTGGGTTTGCGCTTTTCATATAGAGCCTTCCGGCGCGGCAGCACCTCTCGAATGCGGCCACCTTTACACACCGTCCTTGCACGCGCGCGCGCGGGCACCGCCCGTGTGCACCCGCCCGAGCGCACGTACACCGCCCGTGCATGCGGCACCGCGGCGCGCACAAGCTCCCGCGGGCACCCCGGCCGCGCGCACGCAGCACGGGCACACTGCCCTTGCGCAACCCATGCGCAACCCTGTGTGCGCACCGCCCTTGCGCACCCAGCGCTCGCGAGATGTGGTGGAGCGTTGGTGGGGCTTGGGGGGTGGGGTGGGGTGGGGTGGGGTGGGGTGGGGTGGGGTGGGGGGTGGGGTGGGGTGCAGAGTGGTTGGGGGGGCAACAAATAGACCACGGGGACCCAGTGTACGGTTCCACCACCATCACCACCAACAACAACAAGCAGCAACAACAACAGCGACAACAACAAGAACAAGAACCAGAACCAGAACCACAACAATAAAAGCCAACTGCACAACGATGCTGGACGCACCAAAACATAGTGATACTACAAGCAGCATCTTCACATTGCCATCCAATTGCAGTCTTCATTGCCGTCGACTACGCTCAAGCAGATGAGAGCAGCAGCTCGCCTCTGCTATCGTGCACACCTGAGTTCCAGCAGCGTCAGCACGCTTGCACTGCTCCATATATCAACCGACATCAGCACCCGCCAGCGGTGTTTTGCTGAGATTCACGCGTAGTAGCAGCTGTTGCCCGCCCAAACAGCATACACACGATCACCGACCCTCCACCTCGAACACACCGGCTCTTACAGCGGTCGTCATCCTTGGCTGTACACTTTACTCCTGGGGTTGCAACTTCTGCTCGCCATCATCTGCCTCCACCTCCTCCTGTGGGGTCATGAACATCAACAGCATACCAGGGGCACATACAAGTGCTGCATGGTGCAAGCTGCGGAACACGGCAGCCTTCGATTCCGGTAGATCAGACTGCCGGGTCATCAAAGACCTTGTGATGGTTTGCGGCCAGACAGTGTTCAAGAATCAAGCAAGCGGGGAGCGCAAGGGGTCGCCTTCTCGACGTGGTATTGGCTGCGCAGTCATGTGCCACAAGCCATGCAGTCTAGAGCGGAACCTTATGCTACAGAAGGTGACGGGAATCCCTTTCTGCACTTTGAGCAGTGCGCAAAAATGTCAATCGCGTGCCATAGCAACTTCTTCATGACTGCGGTCTGCTGCTACGTTGACTGGGATTGACCATGTTGTGCATGGCTGCAATGCTGAAGGCTGTGACCATGAGACATGAAGCCACACGGCTCCAACAAGGAGCAGTCTTTAAGTCTTTGCTACTCAATCGGCTGGATACGTGCCACAAAGAAATGATTTTGCTCACCGTTCGCAGCGGACTCCATGTTGCTGGTGCTCGATCACTCTTCCATCATCTTCGCCTGCGAATATTCGCCAATTTGTAATAGCACCACAGCCAATTCTCAACAATGCCAAAAACACTCTGCGGCCACCTGCGCGGCTGCGATTTTGGCAGCGACCTTGAATGTCCAGCTGCGAAACTAGCATTCACTGGAGTTGGTGTGAGTGTGTGTGTGTGTGTGAGGCATGCACCTTTGCGCGTCGCTGCTCCAACGTGATTTTGTGGAAGCGGGTATGCTCAGTGCCATCTGATGCCTGTGACAAGGCAGGCATTTGCAAAGACAACAGATACCGAAGCTGCTACTAGCGGAGACCTTCATGGTATCACCATCTTTGTCATAGGTAATGTCCTGCGCACTGCAAACTGCCTGGGACTCGAGTTGCACACGAAGTGACTGGAGTGACATCTCGGCTCCACTGCGTTCCGGTCCTTCTTCTCCGCCTTCTCGCCGTCTGGATCCTCACGGATCTTTTCGTGAGCCTCTGTGTACATGTCCTGGATACACGTCGCAGAGTAGTCGTGAAGAGTCGGCATCAGACACAAGACCGTGGTCCTCCATCTTCTCAGCATCGATGCCTGCTTCGATGTACTTGGCAAAGTGCGCCTCGTACTTTGTTGGATCTTCTTCCTGCAGCATCTCCATGTACTCCTTGACCTGAGATCTACAGTGCAACCAAGACAGTGCGCGAAGGCTGGCGGATAGAGTGTTCCGAGATCCAGGCATGATTCCCAAAGATCTTCTCTTTGTGCGCTTCGGCATCATACTCGGACTCCCCACCTTTCTCATCTGCTGCTTTGAAGCCTGGGAAGTTCTTCGAGTTGTGCGGCACGTGCAAGCCGCCATCCACGGCACCCTTTAGAGCTCCCCACATCCGGTGTCCGACACAGGTGCGGCGAATTCCAACATCAAGGATGCACTTGAAAGGTCGCTGCTCGTTGTCTTCATCCTCAATATGGTATTCTTCACCATCAAGCTCGTCCTTGCCCTTGAACTTCTCATCCAAGCCAAACTTCTTCAGCACACGGCGTGCCAGAAGCAGTCCTGTAGCATATGCTGCTGCATAGTTCTTGTGCCCAGCTACAATTCCGAAGTGTGCGAGCTCGTTGGATGCAGCAGCAGCAACGACAACGTCGCCACGGAGAGTGGCATAGGCACACTGGCAGATGCAACGCTTGTTTGTGAAGCGAACAACCAAGCGATACTTGCGGTTGTTGAACTTGTTCTTGTCCTGCCTTACCATCTTGCGTCTTGCATGGTAATCGGTCTTGCCCTCTCGACGGCGCCGCTTCGCAACTTGAAACCTCTTAAAGTACGCCGCGTTCTTCAGCACCTTCACGAAGGCCATCTTTTACACCGAACGCCCGCACGCGGCCCGCACGCGGCCCGCACCCTCCCGGAGTCCCAACGATCTGAGCCGTCTCCCTAGAACGAAAACATTGTCTGTTCAATGCACTTAAAACACAGCTCTCCCAAGTACACATCACTTGCACCCTGACGCTGCAGTCAGGCATCGGCCCACCAATGGCCTGCTACGATGCGAACTCGATCGCTGTTGACAGTGTTCGACAAGCAAATCATCCGGAAATTCCACTGCTTTGCTCGTGTCTTTTGCCAAGCATCGCGAAGCTTTGAGCTACTACGCCGACTACGTCGCAAAGCGCTTGAAGCTTGGCGCATCAGTAATTTCTCCTGGAGCCGGTCCTCATGTTTGCCATTGAACTTCAATCAAAGTGCCGGAATTCCAAGGGACGTTGAACGCCTAGCAAGATATCTGGTGAGCCAGTGCACTGCAGTCTTTTAAACGTTAGGTACGGTCAGTCGCTTCTTCTTGCCGTAGACGATCTTCTATGATGGGGGCGCGGCCAAAGATAACGTGCTGCACACGAATCTGAGATGCAGGCTCTTACCCTGAATAAGTTCCAGCGCTGACTGCACGTTCATCCCAGACCTTGCGGCTTGCGGGCAGTTCTGCTCTGGCAGAGAGGATGGCATGGCACGCCCCTTCGTGGCAAGGCAGTGGGCAGAGGGCTCCGGCCAGAGCGCGGAGAAGCAGAGAGGCAAAGAGGCAGGGGGCCAAAAACAGGCAGACAGGGAGATAGGTATCATCAATCAAAAGGCGCAACACCGCAAGACTGCCCCATGAAGTGAGCGTTGTGGAAAACGAAGCGTCAACAGATAGGATGGACGAGCAGTGCACGCGCACCCCACGGGAAAGAATGTCGGCTGCCATGCATGAAAGTCCCCGTGCTTGAAACAACACAACACGCAAGCGAGGCTACGAGAGTCTTTCAGCAAACACTTCAGGTCCTTGCCTTGAAACACTGGTCATGTACGCCTGCTTCTTTTGCTGCAACTCCTCGTATCCCCACAGCGAAGGACCGAACAGGTCTGGTCATGTCGTAATTGGCTCTTGTGACCTCTGGCAAAGATGTAAAGATGCAGACAACGGCTCCTGCTTCAGTCTCGTCACTTCGTTCAATTTCTGTACGTCACATGCGCGAACCTGTCATCGCTTCAGCACTCAAACACACTTGAAAAACCTGTTGCCGGCCTCGCCCTTCTTGTTGAAGCCGACAGAAAAAACCACGGTGTCGCCAATTCTCGCTCCCTGCTTTGACAATGCAAAGACTGCAACAACCCAGCCGCAATGTCAATTTGTCCCCAACTCCACCATGCATAACATGGAAGCCTCGTTTCTCCGGTACACGAACGAAACTCAGCCGCGTACCCCGTCAGCCGTAGGTTTGTCAGCTTCCCGTGATGGCATGTGAGCGCCAAGTCATAACTGTCATAACTTTCACCCGAACAATCACACGGTTCTGCGAGCAGTGCGTGCTCGCAAATCCTGCAAGCCTTCCGCTTACCAGCTGGAGACAACAGAAAGCGCAGAGTCATGTCAGACGTGCGCACAGGAAAGCAGAGACAGGAGAGAGTGCACAGCTTGTTGCAGCAGCATGGGAAGCAGTTGAGCAGAGCAGAGCAGGTTGCGCCTGCAAGCTTGTTACAGGGATGCAATGTTTTAGATCGGGAGATAACGGGACACTGGTCCGAGAAACAATGGATCATTGCGTTTCGATTTCTTTCGACCTTCCAGCGACGATCAGGCAGGACTGTAGGCGCCCAAGTTGCCATCCATCAACCACGGAGCTACTGAAAAACAGGACTTCGGGACTTGCTGCAGACTCGCGAGAGTCAAAAATAAAGGAGAATACAAACTGAGAAAGTCAAAATAAAACAGCATGGGACGGAGCTCGAGGTGATTCCATGTGCCGTGGTGGGCCTCGCAGCAAATTTGTGCCTCGGTCGGTTTGTGATCATTTGCTGGCCTTAAGGCCCCGACCTGCTGTCGTTCGAGCACGACAAAGCAAAAGCCAGGGCCCTCTGCGCCGGTTCTCGCTTCTTCGACGCTTCCCCTTCTTTGCCTTGAAACTTCCTGACCTCTATCACACGATTCTCTGTAGTCTACCGCAAAGCCTGACACTGCAGCAAGACAAAATTTGGGAACACGATTGGTTCCGTGCTTTTGGCTTCAATCCTGCCTGGTATGACTCCCTGTCGATGAAAATGTCTCGACCGAAGCGCTTGAAGGTCTCCGAGCACGACACAAAGCCATAGCCCTTCAGAGTGTCAAACTTGGATATGAAGCCGACATAGTGATGAGACCTTGCAGCGCGCAATCATGGGAAGCTTGAACAGGCAATTGGCTTAGGCCTGCTACAATACTCTATGCAAGGATATACTGCTAGTATCAGATTTTTGCGGTTTTTTACAGCACCAGCCTTTGGACGGAGCCAACAGCTTCGGCTTCAGAGCAATCTGTACTGGAGCCGCCTATCCAGAATCACCGACATGCGGCCATGCTTCAGGTTATGCAATTACCGTTCGCAACTTCAGCTCAACATGGATTGTTCGAGAAAAAACAAAAACTTCGTTATCACGGGATAAGCGAGATTTCGGAAACCACTGTTCGCAATGGCCAGGGCTGGGATTTTGTCGAGATCTGCCAGGCCACTGTGCGGCTGCTCGCTTCACCTTGTCCTCCGCTTCTCGCACCCGCTCCTCCAAAGAGTTGAGCTCGGCCAGAGCGTTTCCAGCATCGACTGTGCTGCCTTAGGTGCACACATCGCTTTCAATCCACCACCTTCAGACACAAAGAAAGCGCTGACAAAACTAGGAGGTTCTCACAGTCTGTTCTGCCGAACTGCACACTTGGCTGCGCTCAAAACCACCTTCTTCAGCACATTTATTACGACATATGGACAGAACACACGAACTGCATGCATGTACGTATGCTGGTAAAATATGAGCGAACAATTGGGCATATGCCACATTTGTAGATGCAGAGCATTCGAACTACAAAGCTTAGACAGACAGAGATAGCTGCATGACATGATGTATGGTCGGGAGAAGAGGGCTGAGTGCGAACGGACACATGTGACCGAGAGATAATGTGCGCCAGGCTTTAGAGTTTGGCCGAAGAGATCTTGCGGGCACTTTGGGAATGTCAAACAAGCAGGCCGCGATTTGTTGCTCTTTCCGAATGTGCCGTCATGCAAAGCTATAAGCATGGTTTGGGTTCGCCCTCGTCCAGTGGTAGGGGTTCGCAATGGTTCGCATGTCGCAAGTTGGGTGCGCAATAGCTTTTGTGCATCGAGGCAGGCGGCTCCCTTCAGCTCCCCGCAGTGCTGAGCAGCGCCTCTGTTTGCTTTGCGGCCATGGTGCGATGGTGCATTTAATTCTGCTGTGGTATGCTGTGGCAAGGGTGGGTACATGTGGGTACCTTGGTCAGCCACATGAAGACGACGAGTGTATCCCAGCACGTACGTACACACATGTGTATGTTGGATACTGTGTGGGCATGCAGTGGTATGCAAGTATGCGTGTTGGCTCAGACACATGTAAGGCGTCAAGCCGTCAACGGTTCCAAAATGCCTGCTCCCTTGATGCCTCTTCCTCCTCCTCCCTAATTCCGCCCGAACCGGGGTGCAGACTCTTTTGTGTGATGCTGATGCTGTGTGCATGTATGCTGCATCTCACATTGGCAAGGTCGACTCGTTCTCTGTCCATCTGCACAAGCCTGCTGCGTCTGCCCTGCTCGCAAGACAAGAACGTTCTGGAAGCGCTGCTGCCCTTGCTGTGGCCTGCTGTCTGCGAGTTGAACGTGCATCGCATGTGTGCAATGAAGATGCAGCGGACAGAGTTTGATTATCAGTTTCGCGCTTGTGTTTGGGCCAGTTTGCGCCGCGCAAATGCCAAATTGGTGAAATCCGGCACTTTCCAGGAGGATGGTGATATTGTGCGCAGAGGTTTTGCTTGTACTGCAAGGCTTCCGGTGGACCTGCTTGCTTTGGCGCCATTTCGCGGGCAGCAGCTCTCTGCGCGAAGCTTCGGGACGGATCCGAAGACACCGAACCTAGAATCCCGGAGACCATAGCGACGCAGGATGAAGCCACGGGGACTCCCCTGTGCCAACGTGTCTACGGTTCTTGGAACTGCGAAGCGGCAGCTTCCCTACCCAGCAAGAAGTCCAGTCTCGGTCTGGGCACCTCATGTAGATTCCTCGCCCAGGACGAAGGAACCAACCCGTGGGCGAAGCGGCCGTCCCCTTCGATGAAAATCATCAAACCAGAAAACTGTAAAAAAAATCCATCGCTCCGCGGATTCACGGCTTGAGCTCATTCACGGATCTGATATTCACATAGACAACGGTTAAGGCGGGCCCTCAGATCAGGAACACCCTGGTTCACGTCGAACAGCAGCTGAAAGAATAGACAAAACTTAGAGGAAGGGAAAGCTATGGCAACGGGAGCCCAGAATCTAGCGTCCCTGACTAGCTCAGGCAGGGCGGTCCACATGAGAAGAAAAAGCCGGGCGCAGGATTTAAGACGTACCTTGGTTTTAAGCAAAAAAACAGAGGTTTCTGGTGTTAAACGGCGAAGTTTTAACCGATATCGGGTGTTTACTTACCATAAGATCAGGTGGTAAAGCTGAAATACGTAGACCCCGCACCCGGTATAGGTGTGTTTCGTAAGTCTTTGGTGCCGTGTCATTGGTCAGTCGTTTGGGTTTCAGGGGTTAGAGTTTGAGAAATGTGCCCAGCACCCAGGGGCGTCTTGAATATTCGGCCGTATTTAAGATCCAAAGAATAAGTAATTCGGTAGGATTGTAATGAAGAAGCAATAGGAAGGCTTTGTCAGAGCAGAACTTGTGTGGAGTCTGTAAGGCCCCTGAGTAAGGTGGGAATTGTCCGCACTTTGTAGATACTCTCAGGGGAACAGGGCCCGCGCCCGCCAAGAAAAAGACAGCTAGAGCGATCGCATTGATGTCGGCTTCGGTGGGACATTTAACATATCCACTGTGTGGGCGTGGAAGCAAAGAAAGTCCTGATGTTGCCGAGGCGTTGTCTCTTCGCAAGCTTGAAAAGAGGCGTTTATCAAAGGGCCTGAAATCGTATGACAAAGCCAACGGGTGGAACTTCCTGCTAGCTGACCAAAGACATCAGTGCATTCGGGACATCCGCGAGAAATCGCGAGAACAAACTAGGTTTTTGTGATGTCGTCACCACCTGTCGATTGTCGGGTCCTTCGCGTGTCGATTCCTCTCGCTACTCGCATCGCAAGTTTAGTTGGCGTATTCGAAGCAGGGTTGAGGCCGGTGGCCTCTCATGTTCTCGAATGACTCTAATTATTTCAAGTCTTTCTGATGGGCATGAAGTCGGTGCTAGTGAACATACGGAAAAATCCTGCATGATACAAGACGTGCGAATGATACTGCTATGGTAGGCCCTCACATCAGGACTCACATCGACAGGTTTTTCTCTCCCCGCTCTCTGGCTACATAGCCACTTAGAAACTCAACATGGTCCACCAAAAGGTAGCCATGCCTCCCTTTGGTCTGGCTCAGAGCCTCGGTGTCCCACGAACAAAACCACAAGCTGCAAGTTTGAGTTTTGTGAGCCCGACAAGCCATCATTGCTATGTTTCTTCACACGGCGGCACTGTTCTGCCCCGCACCGCAGGCCAGGGCCAGGGCAAGACGTTGGATGCTGATCATTGACTCTCCTTTCTCTTGCAAGGCATAACGGGCAGCAGGCAGCCCTCCCTCGCTTCTCCCTTCAGCTTATATCAATGTACCAGACGTTAGCTCCAGGGAGCCCAAATGACGACCGTGGTGCTGTGGAAGCCAGGCACACTGGAAGCTACAGCAGGACACGAAGGAGCTGATGTAGCTGACCTGTGCACGGCGGAAGCCCTCTCGCATGGTCGATCCGTTCTTGGCGGGCTACGTTGTGTTCTTTCAGGATCGAGCAATTCGAAACTCCGGAACGCAAGCTTAAGGATGAACTGAACTCCATCTGCCGGACACTGTTGGACACCGAACCTCCTGTACTGGGCCCTTGAAGTGGCGGGAACACGCAAAAACTGCTTCGAAACCAATCTGATCGTCCCAAGCTGCAACGCTCCGTCGTATCCGTTGACCAACAGTTGCTGATACCTTGGAAGCTGCGACGCAGAATCAGAGCTTGCAAATCATTGAGATACACCTGAGTACAGTAAGCAAGCATGGGACACAGCCTATTGCAGACACAAGCCTGAATGAGAGAGGTTGCTGCTTCATATACAGCATCTGCTGCTGGATGGACAGAGCCGAACCATTCAATGCCGGGTCCTGTAACACGGCTGAGCAGAAGGTGGCAGCAGTGACATGCTGTCCCATCGTGAAGAAAGTCTTGACAACGGACACGGAGGGAAATGCACCAGTCCTCTGCAAAAGCTGCAGGAGCCTCCCACTTGTTTGAATTTCTGGCAGGCTGAAAAAATGCTCTGCCGACTTCCGAATCTGAATTGCAGAGCTCAAGCGGGTCGGCCCTGACTGCCCCAAAATCGACACCAGTAGCCCCAAAAATATTTTAAGCTTGCGAAGCCCTTATTGCTATGCTGGGCGGCCTGCTGGAACCCTTGACCATCTCCGGATGGTGCCGCAGGCACCTCCAGGGTTGGCGCCTGTTCAGGTGCAGTCGCGAGACCCTATACTGCCACGTCAGGTCATAGAAATCTACACATGGCCACGATGAATACACTGACTTGTCCTCCGGCGTCGCACCCAGAGGCAGCGAGGGCACCTCTGCAGAAGAACTCTGCGATCGCACACATGGTGCAGGATGCGGACTCATGCTAGCTGGGCTGGTCACTGAATTTGAGGCACTGGGTGCATTCATCTGTGGCACCTGCAGAGGTCTGAGGTGTGCAGATGATTTTGCACTTCGAAAGGAAAACGTGACGACGAGCCGCGGTGGCAGCCGCGAAGCGGTGGGGCTCAGCGGCGATTCGCGCGCTTTGAGCCTTGCGGAAGCGGCAGGAGCTCGTGCTGAGACTCAGCTCCGGGCCCCTGGGCGGCACTGGGCGGCCCACGACATCGGATTCCGGCCAAAGGCTCGGAGTCACGGAGGCGCCGGCGCCGGTGGAGTCGACGGCTGCCTTGTCCGTTGGGCCCGCCGCAGCACATGTCAGATGTCAGGCAGCACAGCTGCAACTCTGGCATTGCCTTGTCCGGCGACGGCGCAAGGCCTGCGCCTGATCAGCTGGCCACGCAACTGCTAACGCGACATGGTATTGATTGCTCTGACCACTAGTAACAGAACGCCTACAGAACTTTCAAAAGCAGACAGGTCTTTCGCTTCTGTTGTCAGATTGGTAAAGGGACTCCAGGTTTGTCTTCACATAACTGCAGGTACAGGAGTTTTTCGTACGTGCATACGAAGAGTCTGAGCACAGAAGCCTAGCCAATGACATGGAATCAAGACATAAAACCGCGTATCTTAGTATCGAAAAGGTGAGACATACGGAATATACTCTACACTTGAAACAATTAAACGGCCTGTGACGTAAACATATGTATGAGGGGAATATGATGAAGCGCATATTGTGTGCGTGGAATATAAGTCTTATACATGTACGAGGACTTGATAAATAGATGCAGCTGGGCAGCTTGCCTGAAGGTCGCGTTGCTGCTCCGCGCATTCGGTGAAGAACATTCGGTGAAGTATCTATAGTTTTAAACTTGGCGACGATCTTTTGTTGAAGGTTTTCCAATGCTGGTGTGTCGCTAACTGCTTTGGCTTCGATTTAACTGTCCTGTGGCTTTGTAGCAATATTCCCTGTCTTGTCTGTGCTTGTTGTATTACATGCTGTCGATGCTCATTGTTCGTATCACCACAGCTGTCGGATCTTCCTAGCAGAGCGAATGCATCGTTAATTGTCTCCAGAAGCCATGATGCTCTTGGTTTACCTGGACGTCTATATTCAAGTCTAGGTCTATTTGTATATGGATCTAACATGACTTGCTTCATGGGGTCTGTCGAGTCTGTCCTCAATATGTGTCCCAGTAGTCTTACCTTTCTTGTCATCCATGTGTGGGAAAACTGTTCAATGAAGCGGTGGTGATCGGTCCGCAGGATGTCTAATACTCTTTGATTCGTGTCACTACGATCGATAAACGTGGGGGCGGATCTTTAGGATGCTGCGAAGCCCTTTCATCTGAAATGCACTAAGGTTTTAATTTATTTGGATCAGACTGGGTGAGCTGTATGCATTCAAGCCCATAAAGGACTTTGCTTTTCAACATTGAATGGAACACGCTTAACTTCCATTTCACTGTGTTTTGAGCCTTGTTCCAAAAAAGCTCGAGTCTATTGCTTGTAACGATGGCATCTGCAATGCGATTACAAGCCCCTCGATGATTATCTACCGTGTCTGTCCATAATGAACCTAAATACGTGGCTTCATGTCATGTTTGCGTGGAACGAGCGTCCCATCCATATACTCAACGCTGGGTGTTCCTTGATTCGGGGTAAGGCTGATGCTTTTTTATCGCAACTCAAGCTCATGTTATAGTACCTGGATTCAGCCTGAATTGTGCGTAGCAATGTGTTTATTGTATGAGTACGTGTGCCAAAAAGTGTCGCCTGCATATAATATTTCTGCGACTTCTATTCCAGGTAACGGCTCTCTTCGCTTTAGAGTCTTTAACTTGGCTTTCATACCCTTGAACCTCGCAGAAACCTCGCAGACGTAGTAACGTAAAAAAATGGTGAAAGGGGCAACCTTGTCGAATCCCAGACTCCTGCGATTTGCATTCTGAACATTGGCTGTCAATTTCCATCCTGAACGGTGGATCTTGGTACATACCAGCAATCACCTGAAACGTATTGGGGGGTTACCGTTAACCTGCGTAGAACCTGTAAGTGCTTAGTTCGGCTGACTTTGTCGAAAGCTTTCCCCCCATCTAATAGAATAAGTGACAGGATTGAATGTTGTCGTTCGGCTGGATCCAATAATCTTCTTGCGATGAAAACAGCGTGTGTTGTTGACTTCTTGGGCCGAAACCCGGATTGTGATCCAAGATCCGTGAATCGTATGCAAAACTATTTATGTTCTTGCCATGCTTGCTAGTAGTTTATAGAACCCCTCCACAGTGCTTTTGGTCTGTAGTTTTGCGTTTGTGAGGTATCTCCTTTCCTGTAGATAGCTACTAAGTTGGCTTGTTTTAGAAGTCTCCGGGAACTGGTGGTTTTGAAGCATGCCTTTGTACAATGATTTTAATTTCAATTTGTAGCGGAAAGTCACTTCACCAGCTCAGCTCTGCTCGGCATCCATCCGGTCCTGGAGTTTTGCTGTGTTTTTGCGAACCGATTACTTTCTCAAGCTGCGGTAGAGCAAAGGGTTCGTCATTCATATTGTTTATGCCTTCCATAAGTGGGGTTGCCTTTTTTTTCTGGATCTAGGTCGTTCTCTTGCGGTTGGGCCCACTGTACCTCGGCAAAATATTCCGCTGCCGTTGTTCTTGAATTTGTAAGGCTTCGGTTGGAAAGTCTTTCTTTTTGAAACCATCCCATTTTTATATCATCCCGTGTGATTTCTTCAAGTTCATGCAGCAGCGCCCGTTCTTCGTCTTTTTTGCCTGCAAACGAATGTAATGTCCTTAGTCAAGCCTCTGGCCTTGATGAAATCATCTTCTTCAATCGCTTTCTGTTTGGCCTCGATTAAACTCCAGGTGGCTTCAAAAAGATAAGAATTCTTCTGTTCAACAGGGATGCACGTGAAGTACTTCTCCACCGATTCGAAGAGTATATCGGCAAGAATGTTTAAAGCTGCTGCACGACTCCAATTGTTAAGCTGTCGCTGTTGCTCTATCTTCTGCTCGACGAACAAGTTGCAAGCATGTTGTTGATTCTGCGTTGGGGTCTTGTAATTTTGCAAGTGCACATCCGCAATCAGATTACCCTTATCGTGTGACTGGCATGCGGGCATGGGTTGCAGCAATATTTTTGGGAATAGGTTTCGTGTCAATCGTCATTGAAATATTTATATTTTTATCAACCGCTTGAATGCTGAATTCAAAGTTTGGTTTCTTTTTGTACACAAATGCTCATCCGAGCTTCATATACGCAATATATCACTGTTTGTTTCCAGCTCTTTATCGGCACGCTTTAGTTGGTCATCGTCTATGATGCCTGAAAGACGAAAGATGTCGTTGTCGTGCAATTTTTCCCGTGTAGTTTACGTGCGTTTCCAGCAGGGCAACGATGTCGATAGATGTTTGTCATAACAACAACAATTTGTTGCCTTGTAGTGAAATAGTTGATTCTTTTTATGTCTTTACTTGCGACTCTAAAACTTCGGTTGTGTGTGCTAAGTTGGTCTTTCGACGTCACGTGAATATTGCAGTTTTTTATGTTGGTTCATGTCTTCCGCCTTCGTTTCGGGTGTCAAATTTTCAATATTCATTGTAATTGCTAGCCTTCTGTCTTGAGCCAAGGTGAGTTTAGCTGGATGCTTGGCCAAAACCTTCCAGCACTGTCTCACGCTCCTTAAGTCCTTTCTTTAAAGGTTCGGGCCTGTCGTCTGCTAGCTGCCGTGTGATGGACATGTTACCTCTTCTATTACCTCTTCTATGTGTGCGGTTTGTGTGAGACTTGGGTTCAGTACTCGTTGCGTTTGCGCACCGTCCTTGGGAAGATGGGCGCATCTCCCGCCGTACCGGTTGGTTGGGGGTAGGGTAAGGCAAAGCGCTATAAAGAGAATTCGCAATACAAATATCATCCCTTGTAGTGTGCAGCTGCTGGCCGCTTAGAGCCTGCAATTGCACTCATTCGGTGAAGAGACATTCGGTGACGAATCATTCGGTGAAGATGTGTCTTTGGAACAGCATTTTTAAAATCTTTGTGGTGCTCCGTTGTTGAAGGTACGCATGTATCAACGCCATTGTTTTTTCCCAGCTCGTGCTGGAAGGCAGTGTCCCTATAGGAAAAGGCCAGCTTCAGGATGCGTTTTGCAATCCTGTTGAGGTGGTCATCGAAATTCTGTCCGAACTCATCGTTTGTGATGGCCCTCACATCGAAGATAAATGGGACTTCGGCTTTGAGTGTCAATGTTGAAACCTTCACATTCGATCCCTTGCCCTCTGGTGTGAGACCTACCGCCTTCAGGAAATCGCCCGTGGTCAGTACTCCTTCTGTGTTGCCTTTACCCTTGCCTTTGTTGCCGATGACCTTGCGTGACATGATGCTCCAGTAAGCGGTGATAAACTCGTCTTCGAAGGCTCGCGCTGAATAGAGGGTGCTGTTGATGCAGATTTTCGCCATACCTTCCACGTGATCGTATGCCAACCAAGCAATGTAGTGTCCTGTCTCCATGTTCTGGATGGTGACGAGCTTCCAGGAATCTTTCCATTGCAAAGTTGGGGTTATTTTCGTGATCAACGCCATGATGGCGTGGAGAAGTTCTGTTTGCATACGATCAAAGGCCGATAAAAACACGGTTGGATTTTGATCATTCCGTTGATGGAGTCCTTGTTGTTCCCGTTTTCGAGCTGATTCAGCTTTGCATTGGTCCATTCCTTGATTCCCTTTTTGTCATACTTTTGGCTGGTTGACTTAAGCAGCTGCTGCTTCAAGGCATAGTCGCCCAAGTCGAAGTCTACACTGGTGAATGGCGAAAGCTGCTCACCCCGACGATGCTCGAACTTGAACCTTGCATGTCCATTTTGCTGATGCCCGCTTCAACCGCAATGGAGTTGATCATGGTTTCGCGATGTTCCATCCGCAAGCTTTTCCCTTGTTTGGGTTAGTGACTGTTAGTGAGTGTATTACCACCGACTCTTCACCATCACTTTGCCTGCAACTGCTGTAGAGGAGGAAAGCCAATTGGGATTGTGTTGTTTCATCTGATCTTTGAGGTCTCTGATGTTATCAAGGATGTCGTGGATCTGGTTGTCATGGCTGGACACATCTTCCATATCTGGTCGTAGGTCTTTGGCATCTTCTTCTTTCGGCTCTCGTTGCTTTTCTTGACTTATTCTTCCTTTCTTCAGTTGCACTGGTGTTGAGCCTTAAGAGCGATGTTCCGGACTTCTTTTTCCCCCCGACCCGTGATATCGGGGGCCGTTCGATTCCATTGAAGGCGTTAGGGATCCATCCTATCGGTTCCTGCGCAATGCCTGAACCCGAACGGCTACAGGAGTTGGCGTCCCAATTCCCATCACGGATCATTGCAGGACGAGGACTTGCAATGTTCCTTGCGCCCCCGCCAACTCCTTGTTACATAGCTTCTTGATACAGGGTACACACAGAGGAACAGGGTTTAAGCACGCAACAAAAATCTGTAGGACACTCATGTATCCGAGACTGTTTCGAGTCAGAAATGGCAGTCGTGCTAAGACAAGGAGAGTCGGCATGAGTCCGATGCTTGGAGAATCTAGGAACATGCAATGATTGCGACGACCCGCCTTCGGACAGCCCAAGACTTGGCGCTGGAGACACGGAGTCCGGAGGAAGGGACTCAGCGGAGGTCTCCTGCAGGCTTCAATCAGAATCGAAACCATTTCCCAGCTTCAGCCCCCTAAGCCACCTCGGATCTGCTCCAAAGTCAAGCAATTTGCCTAAAACCGCGGGATCTACTTGCTCCCAAAGTCAGGGATCGAATCTCCCTCTGGCAAAAATGGGCGCAAACCAACTTTGTAAAACAAACTGTGGCCTTCTCCCTCACCTTCAGGAGTGCAGCACCGATGGCATCATGTGCTGATTTTGCCTGCAATCCACAGGACAAAAACATCAATGCGAAAGGAACAGCAGTTTACAGCCTGCACTGTCTGAACCTGGGAGCGACAGTTTGCATAACCACTGACTTGCCTGTCCTCACATCTTCCGTTGCATTGAGCTGCTGACCCGGGATTTGACAGCTGATAGCTTCTGCTTCAGCTGGTCAAGCGCAACCTTGGAGAGCCAGCAGGCCGCGTGTCTTTTGTCCACTCTATCCTTCTGTCTGAATATCTGAGCTACGACCAATCAAATCGTTCATATCAGACGGTCACAGCTTATGACAAAGAATCCCACGGTTTAGGAACAGGGGTTACACTGAACATGTCTATCTATCACATTGTCTAGTCGTCTTCTTGCTTACCTTGAAAACCCATGCTCAATGCATTCACTGTACCTCCTCTGCCTACATGCACAGATCGCACGTGCATGTCGCATGTAATTACATGTTTACTCAGCTCTTCAGCATCTGGCGGACTCACGCGACTCGCCAGCAGCATGCCTTTCCTAGCCATGGCGCACTCAGGCTTCATCAGGCTTCTAAGAGATGCAGTATGTAAAGACAGCATCAAGCCTCTGCCAGCTTTATTTGTCGTTCCAGCAGCTGCACCTGACCAGGGAAGGAGCATACTTTGCAACCCTGGAAAATTGCAGCCACTGGAGAATCCTGAACATGTAGAAAAAAAGCAGGCTGTCGGACCATCTCAAACCATTCGGCCTCCAGCACATCTAGAGCATCCATGGCTACGGCGCTTTTCGCGAGCTGTCTCCATCGCCCGCATGCATGATTGCAAACTACGACATCGACTTGCCAAACGTTGCTCTCGCTGCGACGTCTAGGACAGAATGAAGAGTCCCGTTGTGGTTTTCCAGGTGCGGATCAGAAGAGCAGGCTTCTACAAGTAGCGGCTTCTGAGAAACACCCGAGAAGCATGCACTGCTGCATGATCAATAGCAGAAGCTCTGTGAGCCCATCACATAAGCCAATTACACTCCAATTCACGGCGATCTACATGTTCTGTACGCGTCGCATGCAAGCATTTGACCAACGCTTGCCGGAGGCAGGTAGGCGAAGCTTCTTGCCACTGCGACTGTACAGCTCGCAATCTGGCACATGGCTAGCCTCTTGATCTGATTTGGCACCTCACGCGCCCGAGAAAAAGGGCACGAGCATTGAGATGTGTCATTACGGATTCTTTCGCGTAATCGGAGAGGCAGCCGAATTCGTCCACAAAGCTGAGCAGTTTCGCTTTGTGAGGACGTTAGCAATTTGTGGGTGGAAGATTGCTTGACACGCAAGCCTTGGCACCTAACACGGGCCTGCCAACCTGGCAATGCCTGACATACAGTGTTGTTCACTGCTTTGTTCTGTTCCGCTTCGAGGTCGGCGTGACGCGACCGCCGAGACCGCTTCACCGTCTGGCCTGGTCACGCATCCAGGAAGAGGCACAGGAACGCAAATCCTCAGCGCACTCTTCGAAACCCTTTCAAAATCTGCACGGACCTCCGTACATGCTTGTGTGACATGTTGCCTGTTGACATTGCTGCACTCTGTTCATGCTCAGAGCTGCGCAGGACCGTATGTTCACCAGCAACAAATTGCCGGCCACCTCAAGAAATGAACATGTCTGTCTACGTGTATTCACATCTCTTCTGCGAGCCTTCGCTTCCTTTATTGATATAGAGAGGCCGCCCTCGATTTCTCGAAGCGATCGCGTGGGAAACTGGCGACAGCTTCGCACAAGTCAAAGGCAGAGAGCACCCCCACACGCTTGCGAGCACCACTAGCCTGTGTTGCCAAGTCCACCTTTTCAGTCGGCTTGTCTGTCAAAGCGGCTGCGACCACGAACTTAGTGCGAGCTGTTCGTGCTCGCGCCACGCTTCATGATTCCACTGTTGCTCACTCGGAATGCTAAGATGTCCGCCATCTGTTCTAGATGATCGTCGGGCCGGAATCGTCTAGCAACTCGCTGACCGGAAGGTAGACGAAGAGAGACCTGCCGGAAGTTGCCAGACATGTCCCGGCTATTATACTCGCATCGGACTCCCCCGCCGGCTGCCCACCCCCTGGGATTGATTCGTGCCCTGTGCAAAGCATAAGCATGAGCATGGGAATGCCAAAATCCGCCGGAGTAAGCATCATGAGTCTTGAGCATCAGGTCCAGAACACCGAGACGGGAGCGTCGGAAAGACCAGGCCTGGTTTCAAGAGGGAAAACTAGTAGAGGGGGCGCGAAAACAGGGCTGGGTCGAACGAGTTGTCATCATATTTCAAGATGCTTGCCACTTGGATATACTAATATGTACTGCGAGGGGGTGGGAACTGCAGCCCGTGAGTTCGGGCAGCGTGCTGTGCTGCCGGAGCGACGCTTGTGTTGAACAGTTCTCGAGCCACCTTGCTCATCGGACCAATGCCTGTCGGGTCCAACAAGGGTCGAGTGCCTCGGTGGGCAGGGCTGGGGTTTGGTTTGTTGAAGTACTGGGAAGATCTCCCCGACAATAACGGAGCTCAGGCTTCCTGCAGTTTCTGTGTCTCTGTCAAAATCTTCATGATGCCTCTCGGTCACGGCATACAGGAGGATGGAGCCCTCATTGGTTGCCAACGTCGAGCTCCGGCTCCCAAATGCTCGCCCACAAAGGCCCGAAACAGCCCCAAATGATTCTCACGGGCGCTCTTCTCATTCTCTCGCTTGTCAAGGCAGCGATGCTGCAGAATTCGTGTGTTGCAACGGAGTGCCCCTCTTGCACAATGCACACAAAGCTGACATCACACCTATAAGCACGTCTCAAAGTTTTACTGCCCACGAGCCCCCCCTATGAAGCTTATTCCCCCGGACGGCAACTTAAACCAAACTTGTCGCTGACCTTGGCCCGAAGTTCGTTTTGCTCGGTCGGGTGTAGTTTTCAGTTTACCCCGATCGGCAAGATGGACCAAAATCGCTTGATAAAAGGATTTTCGATAAGTCTACAGCATGCGCTGAGGGTTTGACGGGTTTCGAACTGCTTCGACGGGGATGCGTCTCACCGTAGAGCCAGAAAGGGCAGGTCAGAAGGGCAAGTTAGAGCCAAAGTCAGAACCGCCCACCCCACCCCGGCCTCCCTGGGGGGCTGGGGTCTGGGTGGCTTACCGGCCCGCTGGGCTGCGACGCAGTTTGCTGTCCCAGATAAACCTGAGATCCTCTCCCAACACGAGGCATTTAAAAGGACGTTGTTGGTTGTTGGTTCTGTGGTCACAGCGTCGCGTTGGCGGATGCGAGAGCTTCCAGCATACATGAAGCCCAACATCCTACGTCCACAGCCAAGACTGACAGTCTGCCTTGAGATGCTCAACACCCTCAGCCGGCTCTTCTGGCAGGACCGGCACAGGCTCCTTCTGCGAACATGTCTGCCTGATTCTATGGAGCTGCTACTGCTTGACGGAGAGCGAACACAGACCTCCTTGGCTTCCACTCCCTCCACCTGCTCATGTCTCCAAATATGTATCGATGCCAACAGCGCGCTGAATGCCTCCATGTCATCCAAGCCATGGAGCCGAATCTGGGAAGGATCGGGAGGTGATGCCTGGCCAGAACAGCCGCAGACGCTGCAGTCAGGTGGCCTGACGTGCCTTACATGCAAGCCTGCCTTCGGATGCATGACAGGACTTGCTGTTGGTGACATGGATGGCGGTGACCTGCTGAATTTTATGTGCTGGGAGACCAACTGTACAAGCACAAACACCTTGCGGCTAAGATCACAACCTGGACATGGAAAATTGGTCCAAGAACCCGAACAAATACCTGGCACATGCACCATAGCAAGCATCACATGGGAAAGCAAAGAGATCGTTCGCAAGGTTGTCGAGGGCACTCGGCGGCGGCATGGGATTCGACCCATTTGCGGCCATCCCAGTTCTTCAGCATAGAAACTCAGACTGTCTAGGAAACTGTGCATGTTGTCGGCAAGGGCCTGCAACCCACCTACGAAGCCTTTCCACTCATGCACAACAGTATATCCCCACGCGCATGTAGTTGCAGCCGTGAATGCATAGCATGCCATCTTCTCCCTAAACGAAAACAATCTTGCCCCATGCTCCTTGACACGTCTTCCCGTGCGAGGGTCAATGACACAGATGTGCGGCAGCTGATGCCTGCCACCAAAACTCGCGAGTTCAGCAGATGATGACTCGCCTCTTCCGCCGACCCGCACTGGTGAAGGTGGCAGAACTGGTCACCCTCAGCTGATTTGTCATCCCGCTGCCTTGGGTTTGCTAGGAACTGCTTCTGCTGGACAGTTACCCGTAAACTTTCTTCAGCAGGATTCTCAGAGTCGTACCAAAACAGGAAGGAACCTGTGATGATGTCTTTGATAGTGTCATCGCTCCACACCTACAGCTGCAAAGCATTGTGCCGATTTGTGGCTCTATGCTGCCGGCATATCGCTAAAGACGGGTGGCCGAACACGGAAAATGCCGTTGATTTTGCTGCTTTATCATTTGCTATTGCTAAAGCTGTGATGGCTGTGTTTACACGAACAAAAGTTATTTGCTATCTGTTACTTGTCACTATGAATGCTGCCCCCAAGTACTGGCGGAATCGCAACGTTTTCTGGTCAAAATCCACGCGGCCGCGGCTCCCGCAGACTGCTGTCGAGACCATTGTGGGGCCAACGTGTTGGAATGTACTAGCCCTGCCCCATGCAATGCAAGATTAATACTGTAGATTGCAAGACTGATGAACCGGCAACCTCACAAAGGTCAAAGGGCCAGCCTCTCGAAGACCTCACATCATGCCACTCAACCTCACGACAACAGCCTCGCATCAACATCAATATTCGCATCATCATTATCATCGTCATCATCATCAGCAGCAACAAAAATTATCAGCGTCATCAACATAGCATGCCACGAGAAACTGAGACCAGAATAAGACCAATGTTTGACTGTTGCAATTTGACCCGGCAGAGCCAGAAAAACTCTGACAACCTCTGAGGAAGCGTGCATCCCGGTTCAGCGTGTGAGAGGCAAACACCTCTGCCTGCTGGATATTGACCTCAGAAACGAAAGCTTGAAAAAAGGAGCATGTGCACTGCATTGCACTACGCTTCCTATTAGATTGCTTAATTTGCTTGCCAGCCTTAGCCTTCGTGATCCTGCTACGCACAGGGTGCAAGGTGACTCTCTCTGTGACTCCCTCTGTCGCTCTCTGTCCGTCCCTCTGCGATGCCACTGCGGGTGCTGGCAGTGGGCTAGCTATGAAGCATCACGAAGCACTATGCATTGCGGGTCTTGCAGTTGTCTGCTCAAGCGCAGTGATTCGGAGAATTGCAAGCCTGCAGAACAGCAACTCACAGCTTCGGCGAGTGGCTGCGACTGAATCGGAGGGTAAGAGTTGCCTGACCGCTGAAGCATGCCAAAGCCAGCTAGTTAATGGGCAGCATTCGCCATGCGAACGGCTTTCACAAGTGACCTTCTCGGATGGTTGCGGAACCGCCTAGCCACTAGTTGGCTCTTGCTCCTGTTTGGCAAGGGTGACTACTTCCTTGCCTTCCGTGACTCTTACTAGTACATGTTATGCCGCTCACTCTAGTGGCGTCCGGAGGCTCGGCGCACTTTTTTGCAGCTGTGCGCGGCCCACTGATAAGTTTTGGTATCCTGAATCGTTCAGGAGTGCAGGCAGAAGCTTGATGTGATCTCAAGTCGCAGAAAAGAACTGCCAAATCTCAAGCGAACTCGAGAAGCTCTTGGAGAAGGCGACTGCCCAATGGAATCACAACGAAAAAGCCTGCAGCAAGAAAGAGCGAGTTCCTTGCCACCGGGAGGGCGGGAGGGCCCAAAAGCTAGCCACAGAGGTTTTCGCAACAGAACATGTAGCGACATGTTATGCCGCTCACTCTAGTGGCGTCCGGAGGCTCGGCGCACTTTTTTGCAGCTGTGCGCGGCCCACTGATAAGTTTTGGTATCCTGAATCGTTCAGGAGTGCAGGCAGAAGCTTGATGTGATCTCAAGTCGCAGAAAAGAACTGCCAAATCTCAAGCGAACTCGAGAAGCTCTTGGAGAAGGCGACTGCCCAATGGAATCACAACGAAAAAGCCTGCAGCAAGAAAGAGCGAGTTCCTTGCCACCACCACTCACCAGTAGTCGGCCGCTACGAGGAAGGAGTAGGAGCTGAACTCCTAAGGCCTATGAAGGTCCCCGACAGCTAGAGCTGGAAGCTTGGGCCAGTAAGAAGGGTAAAACTCGCGAAGCCGAAAGAATCGAGAATCTCGAAGCAGATGACAAAGAGCCGAGGGCGCTCTCTGCTGCTACTTCTTGTAGATAATGCTGGAGCGTGTGAATATGCTGCAGTCTCATGCGCCAGACGAGGTCTGCAACTCCGACGCCACTCTGATAGGCGAACACGGCTCCTCCTCCCCGCACGGATGCCGGAGTAATCTTCAAACTGGTCGGCACTTGTAGCTGCTGGAGAATGCTGTCCCATCGTCGCCGAAAGCTCTGAGCGCACAACGGGAAAAGTTTTTCTGTGGCAGGGAGCCTAGAAAAACAATGTTCACAAGCTGCTATCAAGCCGGGGTTCTTAACCACCACATGTTGCTGCCGTCCTCCGCCTCTTTTCCGTGTCTTCGGCGCGCTTACTTTGACATAAAGCTGATCGATCTTGTCGGAAAGAAGGTCTGAGGGCAGAACCAATTCGGCCCTAGTAAGCTGCAACACCTCGCCTATGCGCATGATCCCGTAAAAGGCGATGAGGAGGAGCAGTCCGAATCGCGGCCACTGCCAACTCAGGGCAATGGAAACCATGGCCTCGCAAAGTTTATGAGGAAGAGGCGGTCTGTGAACCAATGGTTCTAGAACTTCCCAGCGTGAGACCAAGTCCCAACATACTTTAGCATATTGCTTGAAATCAGAATAAGATCTCTGGGCATAGGTAATCAAATGCCGAAAAGTGGAAAGGGTGGCTCCGCATTCGAAAAGGTGCTCCCCATATTCCTTCAAGAGAGCAGAGGTGGTAACAGAGCTTTGCAGAAGCTCCGCAGCCCCAGAGCAACTGCAGTTGTCATGAACCCACTCGACGAACCCGCTCCAAAGTCTCTGTTCCAGATCTTGGGTTTTGGGCTCGACCAGTGGGACTTCCTGCAAAGTAAGTCCTCGTCTCCTGGCCGCCCTCGCCTTAGCGTTTCCAACTGCTGGTCCAGGGTTGCTGGCTTCGCCAATCCTTTTGCAAGCAGCTTTGGCACACCCTTCGATGTCCAAACCGGTGAACTCAGGTCGATCCCCAGAAGCAGCAGCTAAGGACATGGCTATGCAGAGAGAGACCCCTTTCGGGTAGGCCTCTGTCTGCTTTGTCCATGTCAAACGAGTGCTTGCACATCTACCGCGTAGCAGCTGATGTGATGCACAGCCTAGGCAAAGGGTTTTGTGTCCTGCAAGTCCGGTAGATGTGACGACCTTTGTGCGCTTTCGCCATCGGCATCCAAATCTGCAACAATCGTAAACCCACTCACCGACAACTGGACTCTCAAGCAGCTTAACGAACTCTGGCAGAATCCAGAGGAAAGACGTGTGAGGGTTCTCAATCCAGAAAGGAATGGACAGCTCCAGCGCGACAGAACATACTGAATGCATGAATGTCCCAATCTGATTTCCCTGCTCTACTTTGATTTGGGCCTTCTCCGGAATCCCAGGTTTGCCTCGTGGGTAGGCACTGCTTCTCCATCCTGGGGTAATGGCTCGAGAAAAGCTCGCACAGACAGGTCCACCCCCCACTCCGACAAAGGCGCGATTCCTCAGCATGTGAAGAATGCTTCCCTGTACTTCTGGATTAAGGAGGTCCTCTGAAGGAGAATTCAGCACATCATAGCATAGGACCCATCTGCCTGAGATGCGAGCCAGCTCTCGCGCCACTCCTAAACTACCGGAGAAAAGGTCCAAGTACCCTCGATTCTTCAAACATTCGCTTCGCTCCACACCGTCTGGCCAAACGACTGTGCCGATTCCACAAGCTAGGTCTCGGCATGGACCTGGAAAAACATCACCTGGACGAGCCTCGCCATCAGTTCCACTTGGGCAATGCCCAGCAGCTTCGCGCAGCCGGTCGAAAACCACATGTGGCGAAACCTTTGCAAGCAATTGCTTCAGACCCTTTGTTCTAACACTCCGCTGGGCAGCTATCCGATGGGCCACTTCCTCCTTGCCTGGATGCACAAGTTCACTCAGGGGCGGAACTCCTGCAAGCTCAAGAGGATCGCAGCCATGGTCGTTGAGGAAACTATCCAGCGGTCCAACATCTCCTGCAAGCAACGGTTCATACCAGCTGGGCAGCTCTTCGCTCGGTTCGCCTACATCTCTCCCCCTGGTCGGCCCGTCCGAAGGGTTGATGGACGTGGGCGAGTAGGCCAGACCGGAATAAATGCCGCCCCCGATGGTGTACGGGAGAGCGCGTTCAATCTCCCTGTTCAAAGCAACTGAAGATGAGCGTCCTTTCAACAAACACCCTATGGCAACTTGACTGTCTCCGGCCACCAAACATCGAGTGGCTCTTCGAGGTAGTTTTCCGCATCGTTCTGAACGAAGAAATGCTCGGACCTCTCCTATGTTGATGTGTCTTCGCGACTGAGATTTTCGTTTCCAGCGCAGTTTGAATTTGCCACCTTTCAGTATCCGAGTCCAAGCGGCATGAGCTCGGTATTGAGCTTCGCCGCCTCCGGGCAACTCGAGATCTTCGGGTAGCGCACCATGAAGCCTGAGTCGAGCTCTGGCTGGAGAAAGCAGTCGGGTCCACACACTTTTATGAAGACAGTGACGGTACATCTCCTTAGCGAAAGGCTCCGATGTCTGCAAAAAGACCACAGCTTCGCCCCAACCTGATGCATCGCATGCGAAAATATTTGGATTGTATTGTGCTTTGAGGTCTGTCACAGCACTGGTCAAGAGTAAGCAGCACAAGACGAGCTCCTCTTTCAATTCAAAGCCCAACATGAGAACTGTGTTCTCACTCCTCTGGGCGATCTCGCTGAAGATGGTTTGCAGCAAACACATAAGCCGTCGCCTATACACAAACAACGCGATGAGCCCGCCTGCTATGATCTCGAGCAGGTTCACCGTCACAATCCCAAGCTCGAGGACATCCAAGATGACCTTCAGTAGCGGAACGGCTCGCTTCAGAGAACCCCGAACCAAACCACTGCCGCCGTCAACTTGCAGACCCCAAAACTCACCGTGCAGAGAATCACGAACAGCCTTGGCCTCATGGGGAATCAAATTGACTCCTTTGTAGATTTCCTGCGCAGTGTCAGCGAGGATTGCGCCGTCCGTTGGTGCAAACTTCACGCTGTCGGGCCCCCGCCTTTCGATGCTCAGAGCAACATGGTCGTCGATCACAACTCCTGTGCAGGTTTGCTCTCGAGGCGCTGGGACTCCCATGCAAAGTAAATTTCGCTCATGAAGAAGACCACTTTGAAAAAGCAAACCAACATGGCACGTTTGCGCAATCTCGACCGCTTGGGTATCACCCATAGCCAAGCAAGATAAACCTGCATATAGTTTCGCCTCGCTTCTGAAGGAGTCGCGGAACGATTTGAAGTGCTTCACCTCGCCGGGGGTGACAGTTCCTACAAGTGCGTTTCTGCATGATCGTTGAGTGCCGACTCGAAACAGATGGTAGAAGTCTCGAATGTCGTTCGTGGAAGTATACAGCCACTCTCCTGGTTCGAGGTGAAGTCGACAGACAGTGTCAGCGGCTCCTAGAGTGCGAATGAACTTCCCAGGCGGAGATTCAAGAAGATTGTGAGGCCGAGAATCGAGAATAAGTCTGTCGAGGCTCAGCGATTTAAGCACAGCAAAGACGCCACTTGTGTATTTAGCGCGCACCTGCTCAGGGCGGAAAAGCTGAATCCTCCCAGACGAATCCAGAAGTTCATACAACTTGATGCGCTCGCTCCGGCTGCAATGAACTTTTACATGAGGTACTGCTCCCTCGAACTTTTCAGGGCTGACAGAATGTTTGAAAGGGTCTTCGTAAATAGCTGCGGTAGCGGAATCTAGATATGGTCTCGGGTCGAACTCAGGCCGGCCACGGAATTGCAGTCTGGAAGCATCCACTTGTTTGAATGTGCTGATCTTCGGCCCTCTGAAGGTTCCACACTCGCAACTTTTGCGGTGGCCAGCCGTATCTGCCCCTAGATGGTCTCGTTTCCAACCTCTAAGGCTAGACACAACTCGTTCCAGGTCCTCTATTTTTCCAGCTGTCCTGCCCATGGTCTCGGCTGTGAGGATGCCGATTTCAAACCAAGCATCAAGGAAACTCTCAAGCCGTAGCACTTGCTCCCATTGAGCCTCACTTAGCCGGCCGCCTCTAAGACAACCGTCCGGGGCTCGAGCAGCACGCCCCAGGTCCAAGTAGTTGAAGGAGATCACAAGGAGGTTCGTGATAATTCTCTTCAGGTCAGTGTCTCCAACTTTCCCAGGGTCTAGATCACAGGCTGCTGGATATGGTATAGGCATGGGCCACACATGATGAGGAGAATCTCGGCGTCTGTTCGTGCCCTGATCGGGCACACAGGCCTTGCGCATACTGCTGAAAGCAAAAGAGCTCAACCCGGTGCCTTTCCGAAAGAACTCCCGGATGAGCTGAAGAAAAACTGATCTAGGATTGATGTCTTTCACGCTGCTGCCTGGAATGTGGTGATTGTCACGGTGTGCGGCTGAAAAATGTTTCAAAGGGCCAGCTACATCATGACTCGCCCCAGGCGAATGTTCATAATTCACTTGTTTTCCTGGCCTCCAGCGCCTGACTCCGCAGCGCCTCGGCCCCTGCCCCGACCCCTTCCTGGATTGGGGCGATTCTTGTCCTCTGGGTCGCCCTCCCCCCTGCCTTTCGAGCCAGAGAGCTTCCGCCGAGTCTCGTTCCATGAGTCCCGCTCCTTCAGGACACCGAGGAAGACTTCCGTCCACCGAGGGTCGTAAAGCGCTGAGCTCTGCGCCTCCGCAGGTTGGGGAGCTGAGTGCCGGGCGAAATCCTGATAAGGTGGGACTGGCTCCAGCAGCGACACAGTCGACAGGGCCCATGAGCCTGAGTCGATGGAAGCCTGGTCGGCCGCAGCAACCAGCAGACCAGCCCGTGCGCGGGCCCGCGCATGATTTCCCACCATCAGATCGTCCCAGATTCCGGCAACCTGCCAGACCCACCTTACGTGAGTGTGGAAGTTGCTCACCCGACTCCGGGCGGAAAGCCAAGCCCTTGCACTCGGCTGCCCTGAAGGGTGACCTGGAAGAGCGGGCTGAACACCAAAGTCTTCGACCATGTTCGCTTCCAAAGGCTCGTAAATCAGCTTCGGGCTGTCCTGAAGAGCTTTTGTCAGCAGTCGGTGAGCCGCAGCATGTTTCCGTCCGCCTCCCAATCCAGACCCGTCGCTGGACGCGGACCCCCCGCCTTGATCCAGGATACTTTCGAGATCGCTCTTCTTGTTTTTGGCCATGGAGCTGACCAGCTTGGTAAGCTGGACCACAGCTGTTTCCACACTCCCGCTCTGTCGCCCCTGGTCCACATCGCCAGCATCGCCGAACAGCTCCTCCTCGGGGTCGTCCAGCGCCTCGGCGTCTTCCAAACCGACCTCTTCCAGGATCTTGGGTTCGGTAAGTCGCCCGTGCCGTTTGCCAACCAGTCGGGACATCTCCAGAAGCGCATCTTCGCCAACCCCTGCAGCCCTCGCCGCCGCCACGGTTCCAGGATCTAAGCCTGCCAGAAGAGGACGTTTCCCAGGAGCGGCAACAGCTTTCGATCGTGCTCCAAGATCCTTTCTCCTGACAGGTTGCTCTTCCTCCTCCTGGCCCCGCTGCATGTTCTCCAGGAGGCGTTGGATGCTCGAGAGCCCTGTCTCTACTGCTTCCATACGTTTGAATATACCGGGCCCTCCTCCTCCGCTCTCCGCTGTCATGAACGCGAAGTGCTCGTCGGCTACGGTGACGAGGGCCTTGCCGTACGGATACACGATCTCCTCCGGGTTCCCACTGATGAAGGCATAGGTCGGCAGGGTCTCCTCCAGGTACTGGACCTTCTCCTCCAGCTCCATACTCAGGACACCTACCCAAACCTTGGTGGAGATCTCCGGTCGAGGAGTCTCCCGAGCCCCTTCGAAAGCCGTAGCGCAATCCACAGAAAGAGTCTTTCCGAGGCTGTTGCTGGCTATCTTCCGTGATTTCACTTTCCGGTTCCACACCGCATGCGGGATGGCGACTATGATCCGCCCTCCCAATTCGGCAATCCCGATGATGCTGCATGTAGATCCCTCTTCCCCACAAGGCAGGAGCCCCACCTTGTAGTTGTTGTCGATCCGTCCACCCGTAAAGACAAGCCGGCTCCGGATCCTAACCGACTCGTCTTCTTCGGAATCACTCATCCCTCTAAGGAGGAAGGCCAGGTGAACCCGGCCTCAGCCACGGCAATTAGTCCCTCTCTCTGGCTAGGAAGCCCAATGAAAATGGAATTGCCCGGCTTACCGTCAATCTCGACAAGGTCTTTTGCAGCTTTCCAAGTGCGGAAGACTTTCACTGGATCAATGTAGATCTTGCCCCGCACGTCGCGCACAACGATGTAGAGTTGGGACTTTAAACCGATCCTGTTGCGACCAGAGGCTCGCAACTTTCCCTCCAAGGAGTCCTTGAGGAAACGCCCGATGTCCTTGGCAACGCTGGCCCTGAAGTTCCAATCCTCGATCTGATCCGCGGGACGGTTTACACCTGAAGACCCAGCACTATATCCTCGGACGGTCTCCTGGCCCTCAGGAAGATGATCGACAACCTCTAGCACTCGACCTTGTTCCAGGATCTGAATCTTTTCACTCTGCTGATCCACTTTAACCTTTAGCCGATGCACCTCGTCTTGTAAGGCTCGAAACTCACGACGAAGTTCAGCAAGGTCACTGCTCATTCACTCGGTACAAAGCTAAAGGATGATTGTGTAGGAGAGCCCACCACCGCAAAGTGACTCTTCGCCACCAAAGTTTTGCAGCGTAAAGGATCTCAATCACAGGTCCAGCCAAGAGCCCAGCCGCCAATCCCAGCAGAAATGATTTGGGATCAATGAACCCTTCGGTATCGAGGCAGCTGAAAGCAGAGCTGAGATCAGGAGGTACAATCGGTTCGCCCGGAGATGTCAAGTGCTGATGCAGAACAGACAAAAGAAGGCCGCCGATGCTACCTGATCCTGCAGCTGTCGCTATGCTCATAGGCCGCTTGACCCAAAAGCTAGCCACAGAGGTTTTCGCAACAGAACATGTAGCGACATGCACGATATCTCGGCTTCGCAGGCGTCTGGTCCGGCGAGGAGCCCGAATGCTACAGACCCCAGCGACCTCTCTTCCAGCAACTGCGGATGGCAGAGACAAGGCCGTCCGTTGGCCAGGAAGCATCCAAGTTTCTTCACGATCATAAAGCTTCAGAACCCAATCCCACAACACTGGCGCGTTCGCATGCCTAATCATGCCTCCAAGTAGGCTTTTCATGTTTGCAAGTGCTGCAAGCGACCAAGCAGGGAGGTATTCGATCCGGAGAACATCTTGTTAGACACGATTCGCCGTTTAGCGTGAAAAGTCCTGCATACACACTGCCAGCAGCTTTACTCCGCATAATCCGCAAAGAGTTGCATCGGAAATCATAACGTTCAATGATAGCACTGCTCCGGTGCAGCCAGAAATCATCCGCAGGCTGAGTGTTAAATCGCTGCTCAACCACAGGGACCAGGGATAAGTCTGCGGGGTTCTTCGGGAGTATCCGCTGACCCCTGCGGGCGGCGCCCGTGATATCGCGAGAGGTGTCCGCACCCACACCGCTTCCACCGCCTCCACCGCTCTGTTCAAAGAGTCTTTCACCGCTGTATTTGTAGGTGTTTAAACAGTATTTAAAGGCTGCCAATGTGTGCCCGGACCTCTCCGCACCCCCACTGCCCGCACCGCCCCCACCGCCCGCACCGCCCTCACCGCCCTCACCACCCCCACCACCTTCATCCACCGCCACCACCCCCACCATCTCCATTACTGCCACGCCTGCACTGTGCCTCCACCGCTTTCACCGTTCCCACCGTCTCCACCGCTCTCACCGCCCGCTGTATTTGTAGGTGTTAAAAAGTAAAGAGTATTTAAAGGCTGCCAATGCCCCCGCGCCCCCACCGCCCACACCGCCCCCACCGCCCACACCACCCTCACCGCCCTCACCACCCCCACCACCTTCATCCACCGCCACCACCCCCACCATCTCCATTACTGCCACGCCTGCACTGTGCCTCCACCGCTTTCACCGTTCCCACCGTCTCCACCGCTCTCACCGCCCGCTGTATTTGTAGGTGTTTAAAAAGTAAAGAGTATTTAAAGGCTGCCAATGTGTGCCCGGACCGCGCCCACACCGCCCCCACCGCCCCCACCGCCCCCACCGCCCACACCGCCCACACCGCCCACACCGCCCCCACCGCCCATGCACACCGCCCTCACCGCCCTCACCACCCCCACCACCTTCATCCCCCTCCACCACTTTCACCGTTCCCACCGTCTCCACCGCTCTCACCGCCCGCTGTATTTGTAGGTGTTTAAAGAGTGAAGAGTATTTAAAGGCTGCCAATGTGTGCCCGGACCCCCCTGCGCCCCCACCGCCCACACCGCCCCCACCGCCCCCACCACTTTCATCCCCCTCCACCGCTTTCACCGTTCCCACCGTCTCCACCGCTCTCACCGCCCGCTGTATTTGTAGGTGTTTAAAGAGTAAAGAGTATTTAAAGGCTGCCAATGTGTGCCCGGACCCCCCCGCGCCCCCACCGCCCACACCGCCCCCACCGCCCACACCGCCCTCACCGCCCTCACCACCTTCATCCACCGCCACCACCCCCACCATCTCCATTACTGCCACGCCTGCACTGTGCCTCCACCGCTTTCACCGTTCCCACCGTCTCCACCGCTCTCACCGCCCGCTGTATTTGTAGGTGTTTAAAGAATAAAGAGTATTTAAAGGCTGCCAATGTGTGCCCAGACCCCCCCGCGCCCCCACCGCCCACACCGCCCCACCGCCCACACCGCCCCCACCGCCCTCACCGCCCTCACCACCCCCGCCACCTTCATCCACCGCCACCACCGTTTTCACTACCCCCACCATCTCCCGGCCTTGCGATGCGCCGCCGCGCGCGCGATTTTTTGTCATACCACCCCATGGCCACAACTGCACTGGTTCCGTATATACTACGACGACCGACCCCCCCTCAATAATCAATCCCCCCCACCCCGGGCGCCAAATCAATCAAGGGGGGGGGGAGAGGGGGGTGGTTTATTAATAGGAGGTTGACATTAATCAAAACGAACACAGCCTTCCTGCGAAACTTGGTTTTGTGCGGATGCCTTTTGCCTCTGAGTCACAAGGTTGCTGGAACATGCGCACACAATGTCCGAGAGCTGAGCACTGCGTCAGTCCGAATACTTCGCCGCATCAGTCATGTGCTCATGCTACTCGTGCCAGTTACAAGACTTGCAGGCCCTATCTTATTATTTCATGTCACTTCCTCCGTATCGGGGTTGGCTGCTTTCAACACCTGCTGCCTTCCTTGGATGGTCACCTCTCTTCTTTTGGGGTGGGCGGCAGTGGCGGCAGCCCATAAATCGGGCAGCGCTTCGCTGCCCTGTATGGACTGAGCTATGGCTCAGACGAATTGCCTTCTCTTGCGAAGCAAAAGCCACGACGGCTTGTGCCGCCGACCCGCCGCCGACCCCGCGTCATCGGACCTCCGTTTCTCCACAAGGCCGCGCAGGCCCTGGCCCGGAGGCGTCTCGGAACGCGCACGCGCTTCGCAGCCATTCCCCACGGCATGGCGGGTTTCGGGGCCGCCGTGGACGACCCCAGGAGGCGAGCCGGCGAGCATCATGAGCACTCGGGCACCCGCAACCGGCCCCGCGGCGCGAAGTGATGATTTCCAAGTTTTTGCGTGGGTTGCGGAAGCCCCAAAAGGGCGCGCAGCATCAGCATCAGCGGGGTCCGGCGGAGGGCGGATGCGGGCTACATGGAGGGCCGACGAGGGCTAAGAGCGTAAGATCACCCATAAGTTCTGCACTTCGGGCCTACGTCACACTTTTGTTCCGGTGTCGAGCTGTCGTTGTCTCGGCACCGTCTGGAAATTTTGACCGTGTCTTTCCCGTTCCCCCGCTACATCCGCTGACAGCTGCCCCCACCTGGGCGCAGCCCCTAGAATAACTTTTTCTTTTTACCTTGACTGGATGGGTTAGATACTTTGACATGTCTTGCTTGCATTGATGCATGATTTGAACTGTTCATGCTGGCTTGTCTGTGTTGCTAACACCAAGCCAGGCTCACAGTGCAGAGGCAGGTGGAGATATACTTCTTGCAGGCAGGTAAGACGGCCCAGACGGCTTCGGTCATCCAAAAACTGATACCGGAGTGACTTACGGTGTGCAGCGTCGCTGGGGCAGCCTGGCATGAGCGGCGAACTGCCGAAGTGCGGATCCCTGCAGCAACACATTCATCGTCATGTCAGAACGTCTCGTCACGCTGTCAGCGAAAGATCCGGTACTGCCTTCCAACACACAAGCCCGAACAGGCTGCCGTGCCTTTTCGCTCGAGTGGAGAGGACGTTGGAAACGATTGAGCCCCGGAACACTCAGCAAGAGTGCAGGTGACATGCGTCTAATTTGCGACACCGTGCCTGTGATCGGCAAGCATCAAACACCGAGTTGGCTTAAAAGAGCCTTCGAGTTGGCTTCGAAATCGTTCTCGTACATCTAACCCGCTCGAGCATGCAGGAGGCACTGACAGTAGAAGATGGAAACTGGGTCCCACACCAGGACCCACTTGCCCTCACCTTTTGCCTAGGCATAAAACTGGCAAATGCGTGTCTCGCACGACAAGCAACACAAATCCCCGCGCACTCAAGACAGGCCTTCTCGATTGTGTCGTAGTAGCTGCTCCCCTGCCCATGTTTTCGATGAACTCGCACTAGCCGGCGAACAGCGTGCTTGAAGTCAGGCTGCTTCGTTGTACTCCGGGGGCGCGAAAAGCTTGTTGATAGCCTGCAGATCGTGAAGCACTCACAACGTGTCAGGTTGAGGCAACTAGGCGGCGGCAAGTAATAACACGGCCCAAGCAGGATTGAACATGGTTGAGCTGCCTGCACCTGCCTTTTGAGCTTGCCAAACAGCCCAACATAGCCCAACAAGTTCAAGCGAGATTCGGCAATAGCTGTTTCTGCATCCGTGCCCTCACCTGTTCGGGGTAGTGTGGTAAAATCCCAGATTGAAGGGCACCAGTCACTAGTCCGTTTCCAATCGTCAATATGCAGTCGAACAGCAAGAGCAAAAGTGCGCATTCTTTCGGCAAACAGCTCCGAACCGTCTTCGGACGAGGAGGACAGCAGCTGCAGATATCTACACCGGCTGTAAAGCCTTGTCCAGCGGGTCCGCAATCCCAACACACCCCATCAAAACTCGGAACCGTTCGAAAGACACTAGTCACTAGTCCGTTTCCAATCGCCAACATGCAGTTGCACGACAGAAGCAAAAGTGCGCACTCTTTTCGTCCGATTGTGGAAAAAGCTCCGCGATGGCTGCCGGACCGGAAACAGAATGCAGAATACCGGACAACAGCTGCAGATATCCGCCAAATATCCGCACCAGTGGTAAATCCAAAAATGGTCGCGAGCAATACGTTCTTAGCCACAGCCGTGGGAGCAGCCAAAAGGATAAGTCAAGCAGCAATTTCAGACATCGGACAGAGGAAGCCGTCGTGCAGGGACAAGCGGTAGAGCTGGGGTCAACGGAAAAGATGCCCAGTCTATAGAAACTTCATCCTGCGGAGCAAAGCCGCGTATCCGCGGCATCTGTGAGCAAGCGGCCCCGGGACGTGATCTACGCAGACAAACATCCGCTGCTGCTGCGCAAGTATCCAGGAGCCTGGACGAAAAGCCCCAGCATAGGACATAGGACAGCGGACAAGGCCAAACCTGGGACGTGACATCGTGCGGAAGAAACAACCTAAGAAGGGAGCGCAGACCAGGCCGGATTCTTCTGACGCAGCGCGCCCAAGGTCCTTCATCAGTGTTTAGCGAACGCCAAGCGGCACCAGTTTGGCAAAGTCGACTGGCCCAACACCGGCTTTTGGTAGCTTGTCCCTGAGTCGGACTCCCTGAGTATCAGCGGCGCACCCGACCAAGTCCCGGTCCGGTGCCAGGGCAACACGAACACGACGTCCAGCCCCAAAGAGTATCATGATGCTTCCTATGTGAAGTCCACAAAGGTCCACATGCTGCTCAGCGTAGCAGGATACGTTGCTCATGATGGGGTCCATTCTCGGCACGATTTTTTGGGCAGCGCGCTTCGGCTTCTGGTGTCAGCTTCCTGCTCCATCTTGGCGTTGGCAGCATTTGGCATAACGTTGGTCTTTCGACATGCCCGTTCCTCTCTGAAGCCACGTGGCTGCGTCAATTTTTCTGATCTTGCCGAAGTCACAAGTATAGAAGAAGGGATGTAAACTCAGGAGAAAGTTTTGAGCTACAGATATGTGTGTTGCTCTGACATGCAAGAACCTGCAAGAACTTGCGATGCAACGAATCGAATCATGCCAGCTACTACTCGACGCCTTGCCCTCTCCCATTTGCTCATCCTCCTGCTCCTCACCGGTTCCGGAACCAGCCTGTGGAGAAGTCTGCACAGCTTTTGCGCTTCGACAAAGGATCAGGTGAAGGCGAGGAACCCCTGCCGGATCGCCACCGCGATCAAAAGACATCCGCCGAAACATTGCAGCGGAGTCGGCGGCCATCTGCTCCTACAAAGCAGGCGCAACGCAGCACTGCAATACGAAGTGCCTTGGTCCTTTGCCTGCATCCTCCGATGCTCAAGATCCGGATTTATGATCTGGTCCTACATCACGGAGCAAAACCTGGGCCTACCTCTGTGAAAACTGCAGCAAACACGAAGACGATCCTGGTACGCAGGCATTGGTGCTCGGACTTCCTCCTCGCCGGCCTTAGAATACCAAAAATGTAGAGGAACCGCTATGGGTGGTTTGCTGAACTGTTGTTCCAGGTGTCTTGCCATGTGCGCATCTTGCAAAGGGCCTGCCAAAAGGACTTCGATGCAAAGAGACAATGTCCAGCATCCGCTTCCAAATATGCATCTCTTGTCTGGGGTTGTGCAATGTGTGATCGTTATGGCTTCCCATCCTCTGCCTGGATCACACCACCCTCGCTTCTTCCGGAACCAGCCCTCACAAGTGTTCTCAAACCACAAGTCTTGCGCTAAGTTGTCGCTTGACTAAGCTGGTTTTGAAGGATGCCCAGCTACCAACTCACCCCCATGTTCTTCCAAGACCTGCATCTTCACACTTCTCAAATCCTTCCGCCATGCAGACAGACCCGCCCGGCCCGCCCGGCAAGCCAACACCACGTGCAGACGGATGCCGCCTGCGCCAGCGCTCCGACTCCCAGCGATATTTGGCTCCGCTTTGCGTCCGTGCGACGGGACCCCCATCGGACCCCGCCGGGACGCTCGGCCACCAGGCCAAGTGGCCAGGGACTTTGCTCTCTTAAGAACTTGTTCGCGAGCTTGCAACTTGTCTGGCATCCCCGATTCCCTCGTCGACATGCAACAGCCCCTGTCTCGCGAGAGGCTCGATTTTGTGCCCAAGGCGTGCCTTTAGAGCTCTTTGGTGCTGACATCTCCCTTGAAGATAGGCTTCTCTTTTATTACCGCTGAGCTCTGCTTCCCGATGCCCCTGCCCGTCCACCGCCGCCTTAGCAGGCTTGACCTTAGCCTCACATGCGGAGCCAGTCTTCGCTCAGAGGCTACCTCGCGGACACTCTCATGACACATGCGACGCATGCCTGTATCTATACCAGCTGCAGCCGCAGCCGCTGCTACTTCAGCAGCCACGTCAGCATCGATAACCGGTTGGTTTGCCTCGGCAGAAGCATCAAGCGATGCACGAACAATGACGTCAGTTCGCGTCTTGGTGTGAGACAGCAGGAGCTGCGGGAGGTGCAGGAGACGGAGAGGGCCCGAGTGCCTGCGATCTGTGAGGCTGTAAGCCAGAGCTACAGCAGCTAAAGTGCAGCTAAAGCATGCCGGGATTTCGGGGGACGAACTTCCTCCGCCCATCTCGAAGAACAAGCCTAGGGCCTCCAGGGCGAAACTCTCATAAAGGGGTCCCCGCATGCTGAAGTGCTCAAGAAACCTTTACACCAGCATGCCTGCTGCAAGTTTCCACCGGCCATCTCCAGATAGCCTTTTGCCTCAACACTCTTATGCAACGTGTGGGAACCGAAAGGTGAAAATAACCGTTTAAAAGCCTCGTCATCACTTGCAGAAGTTAAGGATATGAACTCTGCGACAGACTCATCAGTTACCATCCTGCGCAGAAGCCGCTGGCAGACGTGGAAGCGCTCCGTAACTTCCATATGCTGTTTCTGCCTCGCAGCTGCTCCCTCGCAGTCACGCAGTTTTCCATGTCTGGCTTGAGCCAACGCTTCAGTGTTCCTTGAAGCGTACTTCAGCAATTCGAACCAGATCAGCTTGCATGATGACAGATTTATCTCGTGCAGTCCTGGTCGAGCCGTTGGTGTGAAGCTGCTCCACTTAACGCAACAGCTTAAACTTCTTCCTCGTCCATCTCCCTTTTTTCCTTCCTGGTGAAGTTTCGAACAGACCATAAATCTCCTGGCTGACTTGTGCGCCACGAGACCAGGACAGCACCCTTTCCAGACTTCTGTGTGTGCGGCAGGGGTGGCAACCTGTTCACGGTGAGTAAATTCACAGGCGCTGCAGAACTTGACAAGCAGTAGATGCAACTGTTTGCTCCCATTGCCGGAAAATGGCAGCATTCGACGACTGACCATTAGAGCGACAAGGATTGCTGTGGGACGGCTTCCACAAGGTGCACAAGGCAATCTTGATGACACGAGACTGAGCACAGGCTTCCTTGCCTGCTACTTAGCTAGAGGCTCCGAGGAACAACTCGATCAAGACAACTCATGACCGCTCATCATAAACGATGATTGTTTCATGTCGGACAACACCAGAACCTGAACCAAGCACTGCCTTCCCAAGCTGGGGTATCTTTTCCGAATCAGCACGTGCAGAGAGTTGATGCTGTCTTTCCCACGGCCAACATACTCTGCCACGATTTGTAGCAAAGTGGCCGTCACCCCACTATGCACCGCACTGCATTGCGGGCACTTGTCTCTGAGCAGAGCGAATAGCTGACGACCTGGAGAGCCATCTTCGACGTTACACGCGGAGCGCATGTGCATGGCACCACTTTGCACGTTAGAGCAACGAACTTTTCTTCATTCCTCACACGTACCAGATGCGGACCTTGGCCAGTCTGCGACGATCTTCCTACTGTCTGTCTTGGAGTTTGGTTTCAACTACTGAGATCTCGGCCCTTTGGGTCATGATGGGGCAATCACCTCAGGGTTCGTTTGCAAGCACACGTGCTCTCCGGCATTCTGGAAAGTATTTTCAGCTGAGATGGCGACCATCCAGAAATGTCGTTTCGATAATCACGTTTCCAGACCTAGTATGCTCAACTGCACAACTTGTGTTGGCTGCTTGCTCGCTGCACTGCTATCTCATTGTTCCGACCTCGTGTTCGTCACCCCGCCAGCGCTTGAGGTTTGCAGGTCGATGGTTGGGCTTCAGCTTCCAGATTTAGGCCGAAAGACTCGGACTTGAAAGCTTGGGTGGAGTGAAGGCCAGGCGCGGCGTAGGGACTTCACGGTTCACACTCAGCCTCCCTTTGGAGCAACTATTTTGGTTTCACTTTTAAAAGCTCAGGGCTGCGTGTTTGGGAGTACCTCCCTGGCCAGAGGTGCTGCTACATGATTCTGAGTTAAGCATCTCACAATAGTTCTGCCGGAAGCATCTCCTCCTCATCTGCAGCCTTGTCGGAGGAGATCAGCAATATCAATGTTTGCACGAGAAGATGCAGATAGATACCATGAAAAAATTGCAAAAATGACCTACTGCACATGAAGATGCTGGGCCTCTATGGTTTGCTGCCAGGTGTTCGTGGAATTTGGTATCACGAAACCAAAATGAAAGTTCCACTCCTGGCCAACTGCACCAGCGCACTGACATGCAACGCAACAAAGCACAGCTTGATGCAATCCTCCAATGGTTCGCCCTTGAAAATAACCTCAGCGTCGACGTTTACCGGACTCTCGGCATTCTTCAATTCATGTCAAGCCCTTCTCTTCAAGCACCTGGCCGACTGCACCAATCTCAAGCTTGTCAGAACCTCCACAGAGGAGAAGTTGAGTTCGCGGGACACCTGGCGTGCTGCCACATCCACAGATCTTCATAAGATTGCGCTTTGCTTCACAAGCCGCCTGTCTGCAGCTCAGAATTTCTCGAGGAACTTGAGCCTCTGGGTAGCGTAGTGTGAACCAGTAAGATCAGCGGTGGCTGAGCCTATCATGCCAACCATGTGAACTTCAACACAAACAGCTTGACATCCGAGTCCTATTCTGGTGAATTCTGACAATCAAGCAGGCGAGCCTCCAGCTCATCCAAACCGCAATCCCACTCGCCGCTTTCCCACATAACTGCCAATGACAAGGGCAGGACAACAAAAAAAACTGTGATGTGCACAATCACAGCCTTGTCCAGTAAGCGCATCACGCATGTTCATCCAGTTGATTCGGAATCCCTGCCACACGAACGGAACGGTCAAACTTCACCGGCAACAGCCGAAAGCTGCAGTAGCCTCTCGGATCGATTGCACATGACTGCCTGGATTTTCATCAGATGGACCGGCCAGCACATACAGAAACACATGCCGCGTCAACTCCCACAAGGCAAAGGAGAAGAATGCACACTGGAACGCGCATCTGCCAAATCTGTGGGCGCCGCTGTCATCCATGGCCTTGTAGTTTGAAACTACACGGAGCAAGCGGAAGGCGCCCCATGGGTTTTGAGAACAGATGGCTGAAAAAAACAAAACTACACATATTGCGATAGGAACAAATCTTGCGACTGATGTTGGTCGTGCTTCTGACTAATTTGCACCCCTCTGCCAAAGCTTTGTGCATCAATACAAAAATGCCCTCAGCGAAAGTGCATGTCGACAATCGATCATTGAACTCGGAACCTTGCCTTCAACATAAGCCATGCATGAATCTTTGGATCCGACGAATCTTGACATCATGCAACTTTCCACCAAGCAAACTCGAACGAGAAACTCAACATATCGGTCGAAATTGTCTAGAGTGCGTGGTAAGCCCCACATCGCAGCCAGGATGTTTGCACATTGCCGGCGTGCAAATTCGGAACGGCTCTACGCATCGCTGCAACACTCCGACACAAGATGCGGCGCAAGAAGTGCAGCACTAAGACACGCGAAAACGGTTGAAGAACAACAAATACATTCTGAGGCAATATGGGCCAAATTGGGAGGTTCACAACTGCCCCAAGCAGGCCCAAGCATCAATTAACTTTCGAACTGGCATTGCGACATGAAACTGAGTGTGCAAACGACACAGGTGTGATTCTCACCTGCAAATCTTTTTTTTGGCGTGCAATGGCCTCGGTGGCGGCGGCTGTCGCACTCGGTCCAAGCTAAGCAGATAAAAAACCGCTAAAATCAAAATAGAGGAAACAACTACTCGACGAAGTCAACTCACGCCCAACTACGGAGTCGAGCTGCCAATCCGCACATGAGGTCTCTCATCCCCACCCACTTTCAGCAGCAAGTCGGGGGCAACACGGGTTCGGCACCCCAAACTGCGGGGTACGAACGTGGAATCCCTAATACCGAAGAACTCGTTCTACTCGCGTCGGACAACAATCGACCCCTCGACACTGTTCACTGTGCATACAAAAACTCCACAAGTCCCATCTGAAGCAATCAGACTGCTGGCCAGGCCACAAAAAGTAAGGCCTCAGGTAAATGCAGAAGAATGGACGAGCCGGCAAAGAGCCATAAACCGTTTCTCGGACAGCAGAATCACGGAAGTCAAGAACCAGCGCGCGGAGCGGGCGACTCTAAACGTTTACTTCTAACGAACGAGTGACCTTGCCATTCAACCAATTTTGGCCCGGCGGCTGGAGTCGAAGCGTGAGTGAATCCACGCAATTACCACCCTCCCACGCAAGGTGCGGGGAAGGAGGCAATGCCGAGGAAGCTCACTGCGGCAAGAAGCTGCCATAGCGGTGTTTTTTGGCATTAGCGGGCCTCGGTCCGTGCAAACGACAAAAAGTGGTCGTCTATTTGTTCTGGTAAAGACTGTACAGATTGCGTCAATCTTTGTCACCAGGAAAAGACCTGAATCGGCCCATCACCCTTCAACAAAAGAGGCTTGAAGGCCCATTCAAGCCCCGTTGAAAAAGGCTTCAAACGGTCAAGCCCCGGCTTCGACCGTTGAAGCGGCCCTGAAGGTCAGACCCTATTCATGGGCTTCAACAAGGGCTTGAAGGGCCTGTAAGGGAAGCTTCAACGGCTTTGAAGGGCTTTATTTATGGGACAGACAAGGAAGCTGATGGCTGGGGGTGGGTTCGGGCCCTTCATGGCTCGGTCTCTGCCGCCAATTTCCGGCTTTTAAAGCAGAGGTCTTCACCCATAGCTCCGCAAAAACGGTTTTTCCCCGCAAGAGGAATAAAGCCACACGAAAACGCTTCGCTCCTGGCGCCCCCCAATTCCCCCCCCCCCTCTCTCAAGCCGCGAAGACCACTCATCAGAAGGAAAGCCACTCGAAAACGCTGCCGGGGGGGTTAAACGCGAAGCAAAATTCAGAATCTGGAATGAACGTCTTCTCCAACAAACAACAAGGCTTCAAACACCTCCCCCTGCTTTCTTAAGTCGTGAAAACCACACATCAGAAGAAGAGCCACACGAAAAAGCTGCACGGGGGGGTAAAAACAGAGAAAACCAAGAATCTGAAATGAAAAGTCTTCTCCAAGAAAGCTTCAAGTAGACATTAATGAAGAAAGCTTCCGTGCGTGCCAAACATCAAGCCATCCAATCCGGTGAGGAAATCCAACAACTTGAATTTGGGTTCGATCAAGTTAACCCGAATCCCTTGGGTCCCTTGAGGTTCGAGTTCGAATTGACCCCAACTCTAACCTCTAGTTCAAGCTACCGAGGCTAACCCGAACTCTCAATCCCAGGTTCACGGTTTGAGTTAACCCAACTCTAACCTGTGGTTCGGGTTCTGGTCAACCCTGCAGTTCGGGTCAGACAAGCGACCCGGAACCTTCAACTTCAGGTTCCGGGTTTGGCTTCCAACTATTAGAACTTTTGGCCCAACTAGTTACTAATTGTAAGCTTCTTTAACTCCAACTCTCAACCCTGGCCAGTGGAGTCTTGACGACGATTGGAACACAGCTTGAAACCAAGAGCAACAGACTGGAGAATGGAGAGAACGAGCATGTGCAGAGAGTTCCTGGCGGACTTTGAACGCACGTTCTGCAACGACGAGGTCCTGCTCCAGACCCTCAAACTGCATGCGGGACAGCGGTGAGAACTTGGTGTGCAGCCTATGCCAGCCCGGCCACAAGGCCGATGTCTTCAGGTACGTCTATCACTATCAGTACGGCGGCCTCTACCTGGTCATCGCTTGACGACATACTGCAGCTTCTGGCCCTCGAGTGGGACAATGTCCAGGTCAACAAAAGCAAGGAGCTGGGGCACTGCCCGAAAAGCCTCCCAGGCACTTTGCCCAGGGACTACTTGATCATGGCCATTGGAGTCAAAAATGACCACACCTTTCAAGGCATCATCTATGGCCAACCACGCCACCCGCTGCTCCTGTTCTATCTTTTATACCGTATTGGATCTGTAAGGCTCTGCGGCAAGCCCGGAGGTGCCAAGGTCTAGAGGGCTAGCCAAGGCATAAACTCCCCCAAGGCTAGTCTTCGTGAGAAGTCAGTGAAACTTCCTAGAAGGCTGCAACTAAGGCTTCTGGAGAGCCAAGTCTCCGTGGCTGAAAAATGTAAGGCTGAAGGCTAAGGAAGCCGAAAGCGCTGGCTATTTTGCCTTTGAAGGCGATTCGGCTTGCCCGTGGCGGGCAAGTGCCGAGCTCCGTGAGACTTAGGTGCAACGTAGCTAGCACTATGGTAAAGTTTAGGCAACGGCTGACCAGGCGCAAGAGGCCCAGAAGACCAGTGTCAGGCTTCTCGTCGCCAAGGAGCACGCTCGACTTCTGCGAGCACTGGGCCTCGCGGAGGCCACGCAGGGCGAAGTGTGTACCGGCCCAGGGCTGAGTAGGATTGCAGCCGAGGCTAGAAAAGACTAAGGCCAGGGCCGAAGGCTGGTACCTAGGTGTGGGCGGGCGGGGTTTTCGAGAAGACTCAAGTGCTAGAGCAGCTGCGATGTGCTATAGATTCACATGCCTTCTAAAACATACGTGAACAAAAACACGAAACGTTCTAGAAAGGCTTGCACTGCTCCATCACTTGCTGCCATCTTTTAATACCGTATTGGATCTGTAAGGCTCTGCGGCCAGCCCGGAGGTGCCAAGGTCGGAGAGGGCTAGCCAAGACATAAACTCCGCCAAGGTTAGTCTTGGTGAGAAGTCAGTGAAACTTCCTAGAAGGCTGCTACGAAGGCTGGAGAGGCAAGTCTCCGTGGCTGAGAAATGTAAGGCTGAAGGCTGAAAGCGCTGGCTATTTTGCCTTTGAAGGCGATTCGGCTTGCCCGTGGCGGGCAAATACCGAGCTCCGTGAGACTTAGGTGAAAAGACAAGGCGTCACCACGCGTCAAAAGGCCTGGTCGAAGAGGAAGACAAGAGCACCTAGGCGCGGGAGTATTAGGGTAGGGCATGTTGAGGCAACGTAGCTATGGTAAAGTTTAGGCAACGGCTGACCAGGAGACCAGAAGACCAGTGTCAGGCTTCTCGTGGCAAAGGAGCACGCTCGACTTCTGCGAGCACTGGACCTTGCGGAAGCCACGCAGGGCGAAGTGTCTACTTGGCCGAGAGCTGAGTAGGACCTCAGCTAGAAAAGACTCAGGCCAAAGGCTGGCCCTGGGTGTGGGCGGGCGGGGTTTTCGAGAAGACTCAAGATTCACATGCCTTCTAAAACATACGTAAACAAAAACATGAAACGTTCTGGAAAGGCTTGCACTACTCTGTCACTTGCTGCCATCTTTTACACCGTATTGGATCTGTAAGGCTCTGCGGCCAGTCCGGAGGTGCCAAGGTCTAGAGGGCAAGCCAAGGCATAAACTCCCCACCTCAGGGAACGGAAAGACAGCAAGTCTCATGTGCATAAGCGGTGAGCCTGTTTAACGTCTTTGGTTTCGACGCAAGCTGCGAACAGCAGACGTGCTTTTTTGCAGCTTGCGTCAAAGCAGCAAATCCAAATGCACTTGGCCATCTTTAATATAATGCTGAATAAACTTTCGGAACGACATGTACTCCACAGGGAACCGAGCTGACATACTGCAAGAGCCAAGGGAGTTCACCTAGATCTTTACGCGTGACTCGCCGATTCTATGCGCCTCTTTCGCGTTGGGTCCAGCAGCGCCATGGCCCGAAACTTGCTCGAATCCGCGCAGGTTGTGGGCTCTCTTGCCTGTTTTTGCAGAATTTTTGAGTGTGCATGGTCGATTCTTTGTGGGTTCGATAAATTTTTGTGCAACACTGCAGGTGGACTGCATATGGGTTTCCGGAATACGATCCTCTGCTTCGAAACCTCTTCCCCCATCAGGATCTTCCTACAGTTCTTCATTTTGGTTTACATTTTCTAACTGGAACTGAGATCCGCTCACGCCAAAAATGTGTGCTCACTCGTGAAGGAACAAAACACAGGGGTTGTCCGTTGTCTGGCAAGACTAGAACGGCAACCGGAGCTCTGAGACTCACCTGGGCGATTCTGAGCGACGGCCCCTTCTCGGTCGCTGAGGCCGAGGCCGTAGTTGGTGCT